ACCATCCCACCTCCCCTGGTCCCACACCACCACCCCCCTTTTATTTCTTGGCACCCCTCCTCCTTTCCAGTCCTGACGAAGGGTTTCGGCCCAAAATGTTGGCTTTCCTGTTCCTCAGATGCTGTCTGTCCTGCTGTGCTTTTTCCAGCTTCACATCTATTGACCCTACACACATGTATCTTCCAGAAAGCTACCTTAATATGCATGATGGTCTCCTACATAGGAGAGAGACCCTGCTGGTGCCAGTAAAATGTTGGTGACAGGTGCACAGTGGCCATTCATTGATCAATTGATTGAATTAGTTGAACACACAACTTCAGTCAGTGGGCAGCCATTTTCTGTTTCTGGGAATATCCCAACAGGTTTATTTGCAAACACAAGGATTGAGGCTCCGAAAGCTTGTGTTTTCAAATAAAGCTGTCGGACTATAACCTGGTGTCGTGTGATTTCTGACTTTGTCCACCCCAGTCCAACACCGGCATAGGAATATCTGATAACAGTAGGAAGATGCTAACGTTCTTTCTTGGCTCCTTCTGACACTATTTGATGAGCCCTCTTGTTTTTCAACTCATCTTCCAGCGGGCTGGTGAAATTCAGTTCCATGTTTCAAATAATTTGCTGAGATAAACGTGTGTCTACATTTAAAAGATAAATTCCAATTTTGGCATGTAGACAGGAAGAAAATTGCAATTTTCTTTTAATGTATTCTGAAGGCTGGGTAGCGGTTTCTGTGGTAAAACTGGAGAGGTAACCCCTCCATATTAATAATTATTAATTTTGTTGCATAACTCTTCAAGCGCAGGTCACTTATTTAAATGTTGGCTTGAAGTAATTTATTTTGGATGTATTTTCAAATGATGTTTCTCCCCTATGATTTTCATGGTTTCCTGTCAGTGGTTTTATGTCAGAACTGGTTGTCCTTCTCAATGTTTATAACTGTATGATTTTGCACAAGTGGTTTCTATAGCTACTGTACAGCAGCAGATGTCGAGCAGTGAAAAGCTGTGATAAGAAAGACAGGCTTTTTAAACAAAAACCAGACATGGGCAATTACCCCGAAGCTGAACTGAGGCCCATTTGAGTAAATGTAGGATATGAATCTTTAAAAAGTGTAAGCAAATGCAACACCACCTGATACTTTCTTTTTCCTGTTTATAATATGGAAACAGCATAGCTAATAACAGATTAGATATTGCAATTGCCAGAGCAACTTTTTAGGTCAGCAGTTTTTTTCCAAAGCCAATTGTCAAGGGTTAGTTTGAATTTCCAGAAGCTAAGGTGAGAAGCACACAGGAGCAATTTACTTTGTTTGTGCTTTCATCTGCGATTTGCTTCTAAAACTTTACAGATAGCAGCATTTCTTTTTCAAAACAGCTGGTATTTAAAGGCCATAAATGACTTGTGGTTAACATGGCAATAAGGGACCCCAACCAATGATTATGTTATCATTTGAAGAGGGTCTGTATATTTTAATGTAATAATAGTAGCCCAAAACAACTGGAGGTCAAAAACGATGCTGTTTAACCCTCTCACATCTGAGAAGGATAAATCAAATTTATAGGTTACACGTGTCCACATAAATGCACTTCTGATCCAAGCATAAAATTCCATTATACAAAACTACTTGGCATTCATGTTTAATTGCGTAGTAACTCTTGATCCAAATGGAACATTTAAATAAATGCTGATCGAAGCCCAAAATATATCTAGTTATCTGGTTTCAATGATTCGCATGATAAGACAGTGAGTCCTTTGGTAAAGGCCATGTAAAATATCTTGCTGACTCTAGGAAAAGGTTTCTTTCAGGGTGTGACTGTTTTCGTTTCAATTCAATTGCTGGATATAAAATTAAATAGGTTGCAGTACAATGACTTGAAAGTTGGCTGCGTTTAATTGCAGTGTCCTGATCCCAGCATAACCTTTCTTGGTAAATTAGTTTATCTGTTTAATTGGAATATATATTCTACAAATTAAACAGGAAATAAATACACTTATTGTCTCCTTCTTAACTGCTTCATTAGGGAGACAAATAACATTAAGTTACATTCAGTTTAATTTTGAGTCAAACATCTTTAGAAAATAAATCATTCCATTATTTTTAAAGTTTATTGAATTAATTCCATAAGTATCTTGGGAGATTCAATTAAAATACATGTTGTTTAACTAAGAGGCAAGCTTTCATTTCTAAAATTACAAACAATACTGGGATGGTGCTGCATTGAAGCTGATATAAATTTTTTTTTTTAAAAAAACACTATTTCCAGAGTATATTATCTTGGTGCAATTGTCTCTCCCCATTTGTTTCTCCCCTGGACTTTCATTTACTAGTCCTAGCTTTTGTTGTCTGATAATATTTTTGATGTTTCCTCTGTCAGCATTGACATCTCACTGAACTTATGGTCAGCTTAGATGTGAAGAAAAGGCCATTAATCTCGGAAAGGTGGGAAATGGCAAAAAAGGGAAGCTAGCATTGCTTCAAAACGAATAGCAGGTCTAAAATCTGGGTGTGCTGAGTCAGGTAATCTCAGTTGGTTTAGTACTGTACTATTATGTAAGTAGAGCAAGCTCAGGTAGAACGAAGAGCCAAATATGATTCCTACTCATTGTTCAGTTGCTTCATTTTACTTTCCCAATCGACCAACACATTCCATCTCTGCTTGCAAGTCAAGGTTAGCATGCATGAAATTGTATCTTCTGGAGAAGTAGAAAAATAAAGCAAAGAATAGTAAGAGTAGTAAGGGCGTGGAATGCCCTGCCTGCAAAAATAGTAGACTCGCCAACTTTAAGGGCATTTAAATGGTCATTGGGTAAACATATGGATGATAATGGAATAGTTTAGGTTAGATGGGCTTCAGATTGGTTTCACAGGTCGGCGCAACATCGAGGGCCGAAGGGCCTGTACTGCGCTGTAATGTTCTATGTTCTAGAATATTAGAAAAGCAATTAATTAGAGTAAAACCATTGAGTAAAAGGAGTGAAATGCATCTTTCATCAAAGAAAATGAGATTCTTCCATTATATTAACAGAGAAAAGGAACTGGCCAAAACATGACTCACCATGGATAAATACTGGACCAAGGTGGAGCTACTTCCAGGTTCCTGGAGCAGAAGGATGTTCTCATCTTCTGTAGTTGAACTAAACAGTCAATGCTATTACTTAACATACTCACAAAAAAAACAATGCCCCACCTGTGCTAAGTGTTTATTAAATCTTTTGCATCTTGCATCTTGCATCAGGATATATTTCCTGACCGTGTAACTCAATTGGCTGTTGTCATGTTTTTGATACATATTGCACACCATGTTTATTCATTATAAGTACTATGTGCACATTTATAATGCATTATATTTTAGCTGTATCATAATTACATTCACCAGTTCATTTTTGTTCTGTGTATTCACTTAATGCCTTCACTAAACTTTTCACCTGAAAATTGCAACAGTGCTGAACTGGATTTAAAATGTGAAGTATAAACAACTCCCAAGAAGGTACCAGCACTGTTCTATTAGTTACTAATGTGTTTTAACATTGATTGCTTAGTTTTTGTTCAAATAACTTTGAACAATGAGGACAAATTTCAAAAGCTTCACTGATGAAAAAAATGTTGTGTCTTAAAAGCAGGAGGGAATATGTGCTTCTGTACCTGTTACACAGAGAAACACTGATAAGTCTGACTTTTCACCTTTACTAGCTTTATTGTTTTTTATAACTTTAAAAAGCATATTATGCTGAGGGTGTCAGTGAAGCTGGATCAGAGAGAGCAAAAGGTAAGAGTCTATAGCTGGGATTTCAAAGGGTCTCAGGGACTGGAATAAGATGAGTGATGAGCTGAAACATAAGAAGAGTAAAGGAAGTGTGCCCATCCCCTTCTCATGGTGGCATTTTGCAAGTAGTGGGAAAGGTTTCCAATGGCCTTTCCACCCAGAGGCCAGTTGTGCCGCTTCAGAGCCGATTTTTTTATGGCTGTTACATACATTTTACCGGTGTTGTGTGGGCCCTTGCCACTTGAGGATTCTGCCAAGTAAACTCTGGACCCTTCCTGGGAGCTTGACGGAGTGCCCTGCTATCACCGCAAGGTGCTACACTGGAAGCAATGGCCACCCCACAGCAACAACACACCCTCCTTCACTAGCTAGGGGCTGCAAAACTGGCTGTGCAATCCCAACCTTGCTTGTTTTCTTCTGAGACTGGAGTCCATGCCACTTCTCTAAGGGACTGCAATTCCAGTCAAAATGGCCATGGTGTGGTTGTACTTGGCTTTACGGCCCAAGGACAAGGCTAGTGCTGCCGAGACAAAATCCCAACCAGTGATCAAGAGATAGAAGATGCTGAGAGATACTGCCATAATAGGGGAAGTGATTTTCACACTTATTTAATATTCAATTTTCAAGTAATAGTTTTAAACCGCCTCAATTTATGCCACTTTTTTTTGTTAACAGTTAGGAAACTTTGAATTTAACATCTGAGAAACTGGGATTCTAACTTCCAATTTTATTTAGGATAGAGATGAAGAATTCTGGCGAAACAGATGGATATGTAGAAGGAGGCATAACTTTCTTCATTTGAAATTGTATTCTCTTTTTGAGTTAAAGTTTAAAAGTAGTCAAACTGTCACCTATCTTTGGAAAGGAGCAAGTGTCAATGGAGAGGAATGGATTGCATATTAAAAGGGAGGTGACAGCAGTGAGAGAAAACGGAGAGAATATAGGGAACCGTTAGATTGTTTCAAGGAGGAGGTAGTGTTCAGATGAGAGGCTGTTAGGAACAGTAATGGATAGTTCACAAATTCAGTGAGAAGGTGATGTAAGGAAGTGACGGGACCAAGCGTATTCAGATACTTATTTCTATTTCATAGCTAACCACAGGCAATATCAATTCAAAAGCAAACTTGTCTTGGATGAAAATGTGCCTCTGAAAATCAATTATTTGGAATTTTGTTACAGTTAAATTAATAGTCGAACAATGTCGTTTATACTAACCTCCTTTCCTTTGTCCCCTAGGATAAGGATCGATATGCCCATCTTATTGATGCAAAGTATAGTCCATATATGGGCCACAATTCATTCCGTGACAAGTACTTCAGTGGAGTAATGAAGAAGATTTCTAAAGAAAATTGAAATATTCAAAGCTGAACAGTTCAAATCTATTTTGAACCATGAAATGTCTTTAAAGGACCATTTTATTTGGCTGTTTTACCAAACTAAAGTCATTAAGTTTGAGAGTCAGAAATGATGAGTTCTGAATTGCTTTATATATTAAATGGCCAAATAGAATATGTATAAGCTGTTAAAACAACAAATATCCTTTTGTATGAATTAAGTATATTTGTAAATAATTTATTTGTTATGAGAGAAAAACACAAAGGAATCCAGTTTGTAAAGCAAATCACGCATTGAGCTGTAACAAGAAGTCAGTATTGAGCCAAAATAGGTTATCCTGTCATATTATAAATAAAATTGAAAGAATGTAACAAGCTGGCATAGGTTTATATTAATGAATGGTAAATTTACAACTAATAATTAGGAAATATTTCGTAAATAAATAATGAAAAAGAAATATACCTGCAAGTAGAGCAGTGATGGTGAAAGTACTTGGAATATTTAAGAAGTAGTAGAGTGAATTGTGTAATTTTCCAATGTACAGAATAATGAAATGGGATAACCATATGATACATAAAATGGGCTGACTGGCAGGGCAACAAGAGTAGGCCATTAAGCCTGTTGTGCATGTGCCATCATTTGATGAGATCATAGCTGATCTGTGTCCTAGAACCATATGTCCATCTTTCCCCTAAATTACTTTTTACCCATGGTTAACTTTCACTCTCAGGTTTAACAGTGATAATTGATTGAGCATTAATTGCTATTTCTGGGTATTCCAAACTACTTCTAATTGTTGTGTGTTGAAGATGTTCCTAATTTCACTCCTGCATTTCCATGCAGTTGTTGCCCTCGACCTTTGTACGTAGAGTACTGTTCAACGTACTTTAACCAAGACTTTATGTAGCTGAAGCATGACTTCTACTCCCTTGTATGCTAGATTTTTAAATATAAAGGTCAAAATTTTATCAGCTTTTCAATTATTTGCTGAATCTGTTCATGACATTTTAATGAACTGTGTACATGGATGCCCACAGTATTTCTGGACATTTAGTGTTTCTAGCCTTTCACCATTCAACACTTTTGGCCATTCATTTAATCTGTCAATATCTGAGGTTGTATCTTTCTAACCATATCATTTATAATGCCACCTATCTTTATGCCATCAACAAATTTAGAAATTTGGCTTTCAATCCCCTCAGCCAAAATAATATGAATGTTTTTAATCCCAACAGAGAGTTAGAGATTTAAAAACAGCTTCTTCCCTGGTGTGATCAGACCTATGAATGGACCTTTTATATATTGCAGTTGATCTTTCTTTGCCCCTTTTCTTTAGCTGTAACACTGTATTCTGCATTTTGTTCTGTTATTCTGATGAGCTTATGTAAGGTTTGATTTGTCTGGTTAGCATGCAGAGCAGTACTTTTCATTGTATCTCAGTACATGTGACAAGAAGAAATCAAATCAAGTCAAATCTTGCGGGTACTACTTGTCACATCCTGCCAGTTTGAGTACCTACTATTTATCCCTACCTTCTTGTTTCCTGCTGTTTAGCCAATATTCTAACCACATCAATAATTTGCATTCAGTTCCTAATCTTTCAATTTTTTGCCAACGGTTTCATCTGATGATCTTGATGGATGTTATGTACAAGGATTGCAGAAGGTATTTCATAGAAGCAGCCTTGTACATTAGTTGACTCTTCAAAAAAAATCAAATCCATGTTATTGCTCTCTGATAATTGAAAATTACAAGATGTTCAAACACTCTATCCTTAACTATAGATTCTAGTAATTTTCTGATAACAGATTATAGACTAATAAGACTATAATTCCTTGGTTTCTTCCTCTCACCTTTCATAAATTGGGGAATGACTTGCCCAATTTTTCAATCCAAAGGGGCCGTACCTGGAGGATTTTAATTGGAGAATCCGATGTTCTTACCCAACTTAATTTAAAACACTGGGATGGGAACTATCTAGGTCCTGGAGATGGGTGTCTCTTTATCACCATTATCTTCTCCTTTACTATTATTTTTCTTGCATTAATTTTGGTGAGTCCCTGTTCCAGATTCAATATTAGTGTTCATAAGATGCCTGGCATGCTAACCTCTTCATCTCCTGTGATTACTGATACAAACTAATATTCAGTGTGTGCCATTTCCTTAATTTGAATTGACCATAAAACTGTTATTAATTTTTTTGTACTTTTCTCATTCACTTTTTGCATGTTATATAATTTTTTTCACTTTTAATTTTTAGTTTTTAATCCTTGTCAAAAGTATTGAATAACCCAGTTTCCAACATCTGCCAGGTCTCAAGCAGTGTCATACCAAACTTGAACCATTAAACTCTGTTTCTCTCTCCACGGATGCTGCCAGACCTTCTGAGTTTGTTCAGCATTCCCTGTTTGTTTCAGATTTCCAGCATCTGCAGCATTTTGCCTTTATTCTATATTCCATATTTCTTTTTGAAAGCAAAGGGCGAATGTAATGATTTTTTTGAGGGTTTTTGGCCTCAAGTGCCTGGCGGGTTTTCTTGCTGTACCTTACCAAAATTGCCTCATTAACTACCGACCCTGCCCCTATGGTGTCATGGCCCCTCCATATCATGTGCTGTACGTACTATTGGCACTGCCAGGAAACCCCAGGTGGGTGGTGAGACATTTGATTCCTCACCCCTATTAAGGAGTGCATCCTGACTCTGACCACCTCAACTGCTGGTGGGCTGTGTCCAAGCCTCTGAATTGCTATCAAAGGCTGCCTTTTACTGTGCCAGGGCCCCTTGGCTGAAGGTTATCTCCCTTGAGTTGACTGAGGACTGCTGACAACCATGACAAGTTTCCTGGCTTTGTGTCTGCGCTAAATGACACAGCAGTATAGAGAGCCTGGTATTTCCAACTGAGTGGGCAAAGTGCAAGGCAGAGATGCTGTGAGTGTTTACATAGGTTCAGAAAGTGAGCGCCATGGCAGCAAGTGAACAGGCTGGACATGCAAACCGGTCCAGTCCTTGAGCTGGGTGATTATCCCTGTACGCTTATGTTATGGCTGCAGCATTATAGTGATAGGTGCCACAACAGCTGAGGTGAAGCATTCTTTAAGTGGATGTGCCACGATTGTTGTTAGAGGCTGGCACATGTAGAATGGAAACATCTGTGGATTTGAGGAATGTGTAGCCAGTGCCTAAGAACAGTGCTATGAGATAGTAGTGCCCAGTGTCCAACATGGAGGCTCCTCACTCTGACTTCCAAGTTGAGAATTCTTCACATCTGGCTTGTTTGGTGCATTTGGTAAGATAGGCATTCATGAGGCAATTTGTGCTGTTAACAAGGTGTTTAACAAGCAATAATTCCCCTTAGTTGTTAACATGTTGCTGCCTAGTGAGCAACATGCCTCACTGCTCTGCAGCTGCATAAAAGATGCAGCGAGTTGCTCCTGATGTTAGTATGGGCCTCACCGGATTTCTCACATGATTCTGCAACAAATCTTGCCATTCCACCACCATTCAGACCCCGTATAAGATTCTGCCAAAGTGTCTATCTCCCAATCAGTTTTCCTGGCATGTAATTTGATCATAACATTCCTTAGGGGTATTAGCTGGATCAAATTACACAACATGTAAAAGTTCTTTTTTTGAATACCTCCCCTTAATCATCTAATGTTTTACACATTTACAGCCTTGCCCTTTTATTGAGGACAGGCTTTGCCTCATCCCATTGAATCAGCCTGACCTATCTCTGTAATCTTAGTCGTTGTTTTGTGTTTTTCCCTTGCAAAGACTACATTGAAGTCAGTCACATTTTGGTCACTATTAGATAGGAATCGACAGACGATTAGGCTGGTAACTAAATCTGGCTCAATACCCATCACTAAAATCTAATACTGTCCCTTTGTTAGTTCTGAGGTCTAATATGGCATGACGCCTTGTATTCCAGGCCTTTTTCATCTATAATTAATTATTTTAGTGGTAAGAAATATTTTATTTTGCTATGAGTGCCCAAACCATTTGTCTTTGTGGCCCAGACAATTATATACTATTTAGCAGCATGATCTAATTTAAAGTTTAAGGTCATGTTCCTGCCACATATACAGATCATTTCCTGATCCCAGGGATTGAAAATGAATGTAATACTTTAGAATTGATTATAAAGTGTAAGTTAGTAGTCCATCAGTAAAATAGTGAGCTGGGACATGGAAGCTTCTTAATTACTTTGGAGAAGTGAAAACACATATAGAGTGTGATAGGTTCTATGATGTGGTTGTTTGTTTTGTTTCAAAAGAAAGATTATGAATTAAGTTCCAAACTGAAGTTTCAGGCTAAGCCTTGGGTATGGTTATATGGAGCTGTTTGAAGGCTGAGAAACCATTGGTACTTGCTAAATGGATTATCTTAAACCTGGCAGGAAGTAATGAGTGAATAGCCCCAGGGCTCAGCATTGGGATCACCACTGTAACAAATTTTAAATTTCTGAATCCAAAATGGCCAGCTTTACCAGTGATAACAAGCTTGGACGGATAGTGAATTGGTTCAGAGATAGTAGGAACTGCAGATGCTGGAGAATCTGAGATATACAAGGTGTAGAGCTGGATGAACACAGCAGGCCAAGCAGCATCAGAGAAGCAGGAAGGCTGACGTTTCAGGCCTAGACCCTTCTTCAGAAATGGGGGAGGGGAAGGGGGTTCTGAAATAAATAGGGAGAGAGGGGGAGATAGGTGGAGAGGAGACAGACAGGTCAAAGGTGACCTGTCTGTCCTCCCTGGACTGACCTATCTCCTCCCTACCTCCCCACCTACACTCACCTTTACTGGCTCCATCCCTGCCTCTTTGACCTGTCTGTCTCCTCTCCACCTATCTTCTCCTCTATCCATCTTCTATCCGCCTCCCCCTCTCTCCCTATTTATTTCAGAATTCCCTTCCCCTTCCCCATTTCTGAAGAAGGGTTTAGGCCTGAAACGTCAGCTTTCCTGCTCCTCTGATGCTGCTTGGCCTGCTGTGTTCATCCAGCTCTACACCTTGTTACCTCGGATAGTGAATTGGAACTGGTTTGTATTCATTTCACTATAGAGGATTGATGATGGTGTGCAAAACAGTGAACAATTAATTGGGTGGATAACAGAGCTACTACCTTTTATGGGGGCATCAAGAATGAAGGTCATGTGATAGCCCAAGATGCCACAATATGGAAGAATATGGTCCTAGAGCTGCAATCTAATTTCAACAGCCATTTGCTTCACCACGTGTAGGAGGCAAAATCAGTCAGAAAGATATTATTGAGACATTCTTCCGTATCCAACATTCAGGCCAAAGAAAATTAAATGTAAAAAGTACATCTGGTTGATGTACACTTTCTCGATATCATAAGAGATGGTTAGAAAG